TCATCATCATCATCATCATCATCATCATCATCATCATCATCATCATCATCATCATCATCATCATCATCATCATCATCATCCCACGTTGCCGAAGATGCAGCCATGAAAAGGAGGATGTCAAACGTTTGAATGTCCAGGAACAATGGCAATTCGAATGGAGTTATTTAGACGAGTGGAGGTGCCTCTAAATATAATGACAATGGAGCTGAAAAAGAGCCTTGCTCTCGCTCGAAGATTTCTTCGAGAAGTCCACCAGGCCCATTAAGGAAACCACACAAAAATCATCATCATCATCATCATCATCATCATCATTGCCTTTCTCACCCTGCATCAGGGTACAGGCCACGAACAAGCACTTTCCACCTTCCCCTATCCTGGGCTTGCCTCTTGATATTACTATTCCATGTTTTCCCCCACCTTTCTGTTCCTCATTCTCTGTGACATGGCTAAAACATCACTTGGACATGGATGGCTGGAGCCTCTACTAATAAATCATTGATGATCTCTGTGACTTTTCTCCAGGTTCCACTAGGTCTTCCCCTTATTCTCTGGCTGTACCGGTCTTTAGAAGAAAAAACCCCCAACCATGTAGCCGCCTGTCAGTCTCTCGGATTCTGTGGATGTTGCAAATCGCTGACCCATGTGCGTTCGGCCGCCCACTGGTCACTCACTCCGTGCACGTGAAGTTTGCTCCTCTGCTCCGGAAGTCGCTTGGGTGGTCTCTACTTGTTTATGTGATACGAAGCTTGGTAAGAGTTTTACGGCGCGCAACTGCGTACGGTCATATGAGTATGAACGCGCGAAATACAAGTTGGTTGCATTCACAACAGTTCACAGCACAGCTTGGTTTGGTGAAATGATTCGATTAAAATGGTAAAAATTGATGGTAAAAATTTCGTGGTAAAAATAATAGTAATTTGCACTTATTATTTCAATTCAATTAAAACTAACAGTATACTGCATTTTTTTGGTACCCACTGAACGTGATTCTTTACAAAGGTAGATCACTTAATTGTAAAGGTTTGTCACCTGTGTGAACTGAATAGTAAGTATGTGCGTATGTGCGAGTGAATGTGTGTGGGTGCGTGTGAATGTGTGTGTGAGTGAGAAAGTTTGCATTCAGTAGAAGTAAAAAGGAAAACAAAAAACAAAAACGGGATTCTGTGTGTGTGTGTGTGTGTGTGTGTGTGTGTGTGTGTCTGTCTGTCTGCCTGTGTGTTTGAGGGGGAGAGGAGGAGAGGGAGACGGTGAGGGGGGAGGGGAGTAGAGGGAATGGCTGGAGCAAAGCAAAATGAGAGGACGAGCAGACAAAGGACTAAGATCACTCAACAGTTCCGTCAAGGTAACAGGTATGCGTTTTCTTCTTTCATTTTTTCCAACAGTTCACATACTTTGGGGGCGGGGCAGGGGCGGGGGGGTTGTGGGGTGGTAACTAACTGGTAGAGGAAGTAAGTAATATCCCAGAGACACAGGCCAAGAAGGAGGAGAACGATTTGGGGGTGAGTTGAGCGTAATTCGAGCCGCGTGGACGGACTGGTGGACTCGGTAATTGGTTTGTCGTTTTACAGACGTCTGCTGGGGGAGACGAGGCTTGAAAAACAGAAACCAGACCAGTGCACGAGTAGGTAACAGTAAGAGTTGTTGCCCGTGCTTTGTTTTCTTGGTGTTACAAATTTAGGACGAGTTTTGCGGTACTTGCGATGCAATTAGGTCACATTGTTTGTTTGAGTAAAGAGAAGCACATCGACACACTAATGGTCATTTAGCGCTGAGAAAATGTAAGACAGACAAACAGAAACAACAGAGGGAAAGTAAAGAAGTAGGACCTTCCAGTAAATGTTTGATAGGAAAAAAAGGAGCAAACCACACCAGAGCACCCACAACCACCCACGTCTATGCTTTGGTTGTCCACATCCTTTTTTTTTTTTTTTTTACCCTTTTTTAAGTTTTAGTAAACGTTGTACGTTACCAGCAACAAATAGTTAGGTCATATACGAGCAGAACATTAAGGTAGTAATAGAGAGTAACTTTTTACTTTTTCTTTCCTATGGTATCTTGGGAGGTGCAGGTTTCAGTCCTGTGCTAGGTGTGTATCGTCTGTGATAGACATGTTACATTGTTCCCGGAACTTTTTAACCCCATCCAGCCGAGGAAGATGGAAACAGGACAAAGTAGGGGATAGCTGGGTCTGGGTGAAGTACGGAAGGCCAACCCGGGTCACTGTGAAACATCGCTGGCCAAAGGGACTCTGGTCAAGCTACGACGTGTCTAGGAAGCCGGTGTAATGGATAAAAACTACTAAAATCAGATAGGAAAGAGAGGAAAGAGAAAAAAAAAACAAGTGAGAAGAAGAGGAGAGTAGCAATCACAAAAAAGGAGAAGGAATAAGGACAACAGCTGTTTGATGAGACAGAAGGACAACGATATCAACGGATGAAACATCTACTCCCCCCCCCTCCC